AAATCCTTCAAGTCTGAATAAAAAGGAATTTCAGAAGTATGAAGATAAAGTGCTTTCTATCTTTCTCTATCTCAACTCAGGGAAACATTATTTGATAAATAAGGGTTTTTTTCTGAAAAGGGAGATGGAATTGCCCTTTATTTAATTTCTCATAAGTTTACCATGAAATGTCAGGATAAAATCAGCCTTTTTCAGGACATAAAATTCACAGGTCATTTTGAGAAGAAGATTAAAAATGATAAAGTATAACTCACTGACAACTTTGGCTCAAGCATCAGTAATGATTGACTGTGAAATTTTTGCTTGTCTGATGTTACTGAATCATCAAGTAGCTTTTAAAAAAAAAAACAAAAACATTTCTCTCAGTGATGGGTGCTCAGAGAATGAAATTTAAGACAAGTAATCTGCAGGTTACACATTGCCAATGGTTCTTCAGAGTTTTTAAGTGTGTCAACCATTTTGAATAATCTACCATAAAATTTTCATTCTGACCTCTCTCGCAAAAACAGAGACAGATTACAAAAGGGTTAACCAGCAGGGCTGAAACCATGAGGTGTGGGACTGGCATTATTTCCCATTGCATAGGGAGGTGTGTGCCTGAAATCCAGCTCACAAAGCCTGAAGGTTGGCTCAGCCAGCAGGACCTTGGTGTGATTCTGATGAGCACTCCCAGACCACATGGATTGTCCAAAAAACTGCAGTCATCTCCTGCAGGGTGCCCTTGGGCTAGGTTCATTTTGCACCACTGAAGCCAGTGGACATTTGATCAAAAATATCAATGCAGTCTGAGTATCAGACCCTAACATTTAAGTACTAGTGGTAGAAAAATCTCTTGTAAGCTCAGCTGTTGCTCATTCTTGAAGATATTTTGCAAGAAATTTTTTCTAAATCACTTGTCAGAAGGAACAAGATTGATAAACATTTAAGTCAGTCTATTATTGTAAAAAAAGGGATTATTTTTGCTGATATATTTTCTCACTAAGAATTATTCATCTGCCTTTGATAAATCATCACTTACCATTTCCTACAGTCATGTGGCCACAAATTTTATTGTATTTTATTTCCCTATTTTGTACCTTTATTAGCCTAAAACTTCTTCAATGGTTATATTTGTTCACCTATTTTAATCAACCATTGCAGGCAGTGCTCAGGTTACCACTCTGTGTTCTGCAAAGAGAGTTCAGCTATAGCCCAGCTTCCCCATTGCACTTAAATACAGCAGGGACAATGGGATGTGTTACAATGGATTTTCTACTTAATACTGTATCGTATTTTCTGCTTTCTATTGATTCTCCTTTTCAGCCTGACAAAGGAGATATTCAAGTGTTCCAACAGCGACTCCCATTCCTGAGGGAAGCACATCTCACCTGCACCCTTGAACCATACACATGAACCTAGCTTTCCCAGGGCAGCAGCCAAATACCGAAACAACTACTCTGCTTTCAGAAGTGACATTTTTTGACTGGTATTCTGTTACAGATGTATTAACTTTTAAATGCTTATACAGCTTGAAATAGCAAGTTTTCTTTATAACTATACATGCTTCCTTTGCTATTATCTTAGTTCCTTTATGATTGGCATTGCAATAACATAAGTAACTGATGCTTCTTGGGAAAAAAGCTTCCATTAACTCAGAAAGAGATAGCCCTAAGCCCCCTGTGGGACCAGCAGAAGACAGTCACCTCCAGACCATACTTGAAAATCAGTCCTAAAATCTGGCTGAATTTGACTAGAAAAGCATCATGAGACTGCTTTCCCAATTTGAGCAGTAAAAATTCAGGATAAAGTACCAAAATGTGATTTTAAAGCTGTGTTTTTAACCAAAAAGAAAGGCTAAACAAAAATCTACCCGGCTGACAACTGTCAATGCTAGATAGAGGAAAACAAGTTCAGATTTCAGCATATACTTGCCAAAGGAAGATAAACACAGCACAATTTCTGCATCATAAGGATACTAAAGAAGTTATTCTTACTGAAGTCCAGACAGCCTAGGAAAGTCAACATGGTATTGTTTTGAGCTCTCTTATCAAAGCCTATTGTTATTACTTGTCTGAGCTCCAGTGGAGCACCTTTCATTTCCAAAATGAAGAAGATGGGGGTGACCATATGACTGCATTTCTATTGACCTGACAGAGGACACTATTTAGGCTTCATACTTGGTGTTAGCTGCAGAAATGTAGGCAACACTTGATTCATTATAAACATCACCAGAACAAAGCCACACTTTAACAAATATCTAAAGGCAGCATATTAGAGTATTTTTACATTTTATAGTCTGCACAATACTATTTTTCATCCTGTACTTGAAGTACTAATGCCTTTGTGACCAAATCACAGTCTAACAATTCTAAACCATGCCAGTTTATCTATCACGTGGTAGCACACACCAACAGATTTCCATGAATTTAATTTACCAATAAAATTTCCATTTGCAGACAAATATCAAAATGCCCACAGCATTTTCTCTAAGCCTGCAAGACACCTGAAAAAGAGTCTATAATATTAACTCTATTTTACTCTATGTCATATGGAGAAGAAAAGCACAACTTTATTGCAGAGGGGTGACAGTTCCTTCAAAGGTGGCTGTTGTTCAGTCTTGGCTCAGCAATAGGAGCCAGCCCCACAACGGGAACAGTCAGCCATTGGAACAACCTCTCCAGGGAAGTGGTAGATTTGTCAATCCTGTGAGCAGAGACATGGCCTCTGAGAGCCTTCATACAGGGTTTATGTGTCTGCACACAGCTTCAGAGAAGGGTGCAGGAAAAAACATAACACAGACATATTTTTGAGCAGAGCTCTGGCTTTAGATGCTACAGCAGGTCAGATCAGAACCCCAAGATTCACTGAAAGAAAAAGAAACTGATTCAGGTATATAATAAAAGAAATATATAATAATATATGCCATATAATAAAAATATAATAAGATTCAACTTCATTACTACCATTAGTGGAGTTACATTTCTCACAGTCTTTTATTACATCTCTTGCCTAAGAAGCACGCATTCACAGTTGGAGCTCATTTTCCAACACTTCTGCTTATAATTTCCCTCTGTCATTTGCAAATTTTAGGTAAACAAGGGACCTAACAGAGCCCCCCCCACCCCACCTCTCCCTACCCACATAGAAATGCCTGGAGCAAAAATTCCTAGAATCTTTATTCTGTTTGCAAAATACAGCTCAAATGTTCCCCCCACGGCTGAACTCATTTTACAGGTATCTCATCCTTTCGACAGCTAGATTGAAAGGACATGGGTAGGAAAACACAACACTGGTTTCAGAAGTCCAAGTGCAATTTTTGTGATGTCTCACTTCAGATATGCAGCTGCCCATACCTGCAGTCTGGCCCAGCACAGATTGACCTTCAGCCAAATTGCTTCAGTATTTCTGATATGACTCTCCTGCTAGAAAAGCACCTGCAATCACAGTAGTGCTGTAGGACAATGTTCATCTAACTCAGGAAACAGCCAGACTCCCATTCTGCACACGTATTACTAGATTAGATGGAAAGATACACTCGGGATATGATATACTGAGATCTGACAACTCTGGTTTTTTCTTACAGCTGCAGCAAGAACACATAAAACTCCACATTATAATAGAAAATTAAATCGGGGCACTGTCCTTTAAAGTAGCAAAAGCCTAGTTTACTTGGGGTTTTTAAACAGACTCTTAGAAGAAACTGGCAAATTAATTTCTACAATGTTATTTGCTAAGAAATAAACACCTGAAAATGGAAGGATATTCTTTATCTGAACAGCTATGCAAGATGTTAAAAAAACCTCTTGAAATCTCAGAAATAAAAAAAAAAAAAATGGGGATTTTGGACTTTTTGTTTTATTCCATAATCCTCCCCAACGCATTAAAGTTTTTGGCTAAATTCTTTATATATATTTGTATTTATCTTTTTATACAGGCATATATGCCTAGCAATATAAAACAAGCATGCAAATGTTTACCTTGCCTTCTGAGTTATAGATGCAAGTCTATTTATTTGGTGTATTATTTTGACATGAGTGTTTTACAAAATCTCTTCACAGGAGTCAGTTTACCTCTTCATTATTTTATTATTTGTATTTCAGGAAGTGAGAAAAAAGACAGAAATTTGTGGACGTGGCTTTTGGTTGTTTTTATTGTGAACAGTTCATGTTTCTTTGAGGGAGTGTCAAGTGAAAGAATATACTTTTCTGAATCATGAGCCTTCACATTTTGATTCTGTAACTGAATTCAGGTATTGTCTCCCTTGGAGCAGCTGGTGTAAACCTTTTCCTACAATGGCAGGGTGGGAAGTAGGGATTCTTATTATGAATCACAGAAGCATTGAAGTGAAGGTGAAGTAATTTTCTGTTGGAATCATTAATCTGGCTCTGGGATTCTTCCCTACAGCTTCTATCCTGTTGAATAGTTTCACTTTGCAGAAGCAGTCCAGTTGAGTAAAGGTAGCTGGATTTTCTTCCCTGTTTGCATTAAGAGTCTAATGTCATGGATATATCATAAGAACAGAGGGGTTACATTTAGTAACATTTAGGGAGACATTTAGTGCTGCCCTTTAACTCTCTAGTTCCTTCAAAACCAGAAATATATCAGCATCTTTATTGCTTTGGCACCTTCCCTTCAGTCCTTAGACTTATAATTCATGGCTATTTCCTAAATCACCTGTTTTGACTTTTCATACAATTTCAAAGCTGAATGATTCAGGGGATTCAGAGGTAGGGGTTTTTGTTTGGGTGCTGCAGCAAATTATATTCAATTGATGTAAAAATCAAACACTCCTCTACAGACATCTAATAGATCTCATTGTAAAATCTACAGAGGGTGTCAGCTCCCATGTGGAGAAAACATTCTCCCCAGTTGTTCCATTTTGCTATAGTTACTGTGTGATAGTAGATTCCTTACATATCATAACCATAAAAGTCTGTGCATCTGCTAAATCATTTTATATCAATGACACAACATGAATATAGCATTGCTCCATCTATTCAAGAAAAACTGTGAGCATGCACTGAGAATTTTCACATTTATTTGTGCCTGTGCAACAATCCTCTTCAATTAAGTGCAACATTCAAAGGAGTACCAGAATGCAAAGGTAATAGGTACCAAAGTATTCAAAATGCAAAAGCAGCACATGTGGCAGGTGATATCTACATTCAAGATTACAAAGGAGATTTTTAAGTCTGAATTTTCTTTGTACAAACTAAAAAATATTAAAGAACTTTTGGGCTCAGTGCTGATGTCAGAATTCAGCCAGCACTCACTCTGGTGAGATTCAGGAAGTCTTGTATTAAAAGGAACTTATTTCAACAAGACACTGATAGACTTTTAAATACATTTAAAAAAGAAAGATTAAAAAGACTTTCATGTTAAGAACAGAATTTGAGGTCAACTTATCTTACTCACAACTTCAGAAATATCTAATGAACTTACACCCTAAACAAAAATCTTGGAAACATGAAACTGGGGCACAATAAAATATGTAAATTTAACTGTATTTTGACTGTACAAATCTTAATTCCAAAACTCAGAGACAGACTTTCTCATGCAAAAGAAGACAGATTTGTACTTGGAAATACAGATCAGAAAATAAAGAATGAACAGAGCAAAGAAGTCAGGAGGTAACAACTAATGAGCCTTTCGTAGTATATTAATTATTTTTTTTTAAATAAGTGTTAGGCAACACGCTGAGGCAAAAACAAATCGTGCCATGGGTCCTGGATATGCTCAAGTTCTCAGGGGAAGTCTGTCCTCTTCACCAGTGGCTCAGTCCTGGTGTGCAGCTGAGAGCTCTGCAAGATGTGCCTGTATTTGGCCTGCAATAGCACAAGCACACAAGGAAACCCAATTGCTTTTAATTAATTAGTACATGTGCTCTCTGTAACTGTTTGCTCTTTCATGGCTGATGACAGTCGGGTAGGACAGGGTTTTCCCTTTCCTTGATATGGCATGGCCATTAGGAGAAACAAAACCTTCCTTTATGGTACTAGAACGAGTTATACCTGACCTTCCATGTCTTAAACCAGAAACTAATCAAGAGCTGTGCAAGGTCTGCAGGTAATTCTTTGCCTAACATAGTAATAGGGAAAAAACTGAAGTGAGTGCCAGACAGGAATGTCTTCTGCTGGACTCTGAGAGTGTGGAGGGGATAGAGGCTCCACAACAGCTGGGGGCTGCAACATGGGATGTACAAATAGAACCTGAGGGAGATGGGCAAGTTCAGCTTGGGGAAGAAAGAGGGAAGGAGAGATCTTATCAGTGTTTCCAAAAAGCTGATGGCAGTTACAAAAAAGGTGCATGAAGGCAAAACAAAATGCATTAGACATAAATTGAAATACAGTAATTTACATTAGATGTAAAGAAAAATATTTTAAAGTGAAGATAAATCAGGAAGAAGTGGCAGGATATGGGGAAAAGAACGAATTAAATAGTCTTCTCTTCTCTCTCAAATCTTCAGCAGAACACCAAGATGGATTTCTGCCCATTGTTCTTCACAGAGTTTCTGATTCACTGGTGGTGCTAGTGGAGAGCTCAGGTTGAAATGTTTAATTTATTTGTTTAAGGACTTCTACCATCTCTTGCTTTCATTATTTTCTAAGTTAAATGAATAAATTACATTCTCCTGAAGTGGACTTGAGCTTCTTCCAGATTTTTTTTAATCCATGCAGTTCTTGCACTTTGTATCCTTTTGAGCAGAGCTTTTATGATGCTTGCTACTGCCAGGAAGATTTCACTTTCTATCAGCTCTAAACTGAGCAATCTAAATTTTCCTTTTCACCAGTTTTGGTGTTCATCAGATCTCTTACTGAGGCATTTCAGCTCACTGATGTGGTAGTAAATGATTATCCATTATATTTATCCATTGTATTGTTTTGGCCATGCATACAGATTAGTGAGTGAACTCACAGAGGGACCAGCAGGCTCCATCAGGTGAGCTATTAGGTCTGCTTCAGCCTTCTTCCATGCATGCCTATTTAAAAAAAGGACAGGCTAGGGGAATTCTTGTCATAATTACTTGTGGTTTCGTGTCTTCTGCCACCTCCTGCACATTTGCTGTTTCTACTCACAATTTGGTTTAGGACAGACACTGCGGGTTGCTTGTTTTCACTGTCCTGCTGAATCTGTTAGAAGGCTTTAGCGTTCACTGTTGTTCAACAGACAGTCAGAAAACATGAACTGCTTGGATTGAGAGGAGGCTGGCAGCAGCAGAGCTTGGCAGTGCTCTTTGGGTCTGTGTGAGCACTTCTCACCTCCTGGTGATCCTTTCATAACTTGGCAAAGCCACCATGGCAGTGTCGGTGCGTCAACCTTCTTGTACTCGGTAGCTGTGTGTACAGATATCTCCTGCTGGCAATAGAAGGAAAGAAGCAAGATGAAGACCAGGGGCTAAAAACTTTGAGTAGACAGGACATGCCTAATTCGGCTTTGATGATGAAAGATTGACAGAGTACACTTGGGGATGTAAGGCTCCCTTTATCCCAAAACCCACCTTTCAGAAGCTATATATAGTCATCTTTTTCGGTGGAAAGCTCCATGTGAAACACAATGGTTTACTTTCTTAGACTGACTTCAAAAGTGAAAATTTATAATATCATCCTATAATTGATTTGGGGATCAAACCATACCTTAACAAAAAGGTTCTATCTAAGTAAGGGAATTTTAAAAATCCAATTTTCAACAGCAAGATACAATTAGTGAGATTTTCATCTACCATTTCTTACTACAAATTCAAGCTGTTCATGTTTCCCAGAGTATGACTAGTTTATTCTACAAATTTACATGTACTTGGGCATGGCTATTCCAAATTTTTGTAGAGAATAATACCGTGCAGGCATCCTAAGTTCATCTTCCTATCAGCAAGCCCAGGACGGAATGATTTCCACGGCAGTAAGGAAGTTTCATGGTTGAAAGAGAAATGTAGATAAAAGAAAGGGTACACATATAGGAGGAACTCAAGGCTGTGACTTCACGGCAATTAATACAGCAATCAGCAATGGAACTTTAATCCAGGCCAGGTAAGAACACAAAACTGCATTTCTGACCAATATACTCAAAGACACAGTATGAATTTCTTCTGGGGAGGAGGACAGATGAAAGGTATCTGGCAAAAATTCTGAGGGAATACAACAAACTATATTTTTGTTGCTCTTATTAGTTTTCTTCAGGTTCTGGGGCTTTGCTCTTTGCTTCAGAGGGGTTATGGATGTTGAAGCAAAGACAAGAAGGGGAAATTAACCTGTATCAGTTTGTGCTGCACCATCCTTTTGTATTGTGCATTTCATGTGATTTTGGCATCTGAAAGTTGGATGAAAGACTTTGCTGAAAGATCAACCCATGACTTCAGAGCACAAATACCGCCTGTTGAAAAAGGGACTGTGCCTTTAGGTTATTAAAGAATGCCCCCCTAGGCCACTTCAGCAGAGAGAACTACAGCAAGAACATCATAAAACTGCCTGTCTCTGTACCACTGGAATAGGCATTTGTTGTACCCTGATTTAAATTTTAAAACATACTGTGCTGTTGTTGCCTCATTCTGCACCCTGTTAGCAGGTAAGTCTCATCAACTCCAAGTGGAAATAATTCAGATTTCCTGATTCTTTGTACAAGTCATTTCTCCTGATGATGTGATTTTAAAACTTTCTCACCAATGAACCTTTAAACTTTGTTCCTACATGGCACTGTAAATATTGAAAATGTGAAAATATGTAACAGAAGCACCAACATTTGTAGTGTCACAATCCTCTTGCAAAAATGGAATAAAGTTCCTCACCATCCCAATCAAAACCCACACTAATATTAGCCAATGGATATTGGCTAAGGAATATTAAGTTTGCCAGATGCCAAGAGCTTACTGCAATTTCAAGAACTTGTCAATGTTCTAAGAACAGGAGCAAGAATACTGTCCTTCACTGGCAGAAAAGCCCAGTATCTTGAAATTAAGCATGTTTTTTTTTGGTGTGTGAAAAATTGCAGTTAAAAAAAATCTTCAAATGCAGTCTTTTTCAAACAAGTGGAAGCACTAGGAAAAATTGTTTTAAATTCAGGTCTCCAAGGATTGTACAGTATCTAAAACACTAGCTGGGTACCCTTGTTAAAGGGTGGGAAGTGGGGAAATTGGAAGGTGTTTGAAGCAGAAAAATCAGTAGCAGATTATAGAAGCTTGGATGTCAGTGCAAAAAGAGGTGAAGAACAAAGAAAAGTCTTTGAAGATTAACATATAATATATATATTTTGGAAAATTCTGTTGGGGATAAGCACCAATATCCAGGGTCAAAGAAAAAAGATATAGCTCTTTATTTGGATTTTAGTTTTGTACCCTAATTAAGGTTTTGATTGGTAAAAAATTCCCCTTCCTTCTGTGATAGCTTTACATAAGTTTAATGGACTACTGCAGCAATTCTGAAGTACTGACACTGAATGAACGTGTCTCTTGCCCTTGTTAAGAAACACTTTTCTGAGTTTACCTACCAGCCCTGCAGCCACTGTGAATTTTTTGTGGGAGCCTCGAGCATTCAGCTGAAAAAAATAAATTTCTTCCTCTAGACAGAATTCCCCCACCTGTGTATATGCACATAGACTGACATATTTTCAAACAAAAAAAAAATTATGCTAGGACTGGGAATTACTTTCAGAAAGTATTTGGCATTTGCTTGCATTACTTCAAATAAAGTTCAGAAGAGTCACATATCATTACAGACATCCACCATTATATGAAGAGAATAGCAAGATATTTTTAAAGTGGGTGGTGAATCCTAGAGTGCCTACATATTATAATTTCATAAACTTCACATAAAATATTTAAATCCAGTCATTAACAGAGACAGACTATCAAACTAGAACAACTCTGCTAGAGCTATAAGGATACATGGAATTATCCAGGGATAAAAGAATTACAAAACCAGTGGTAACCACCTTTAGCCCTCCTTATAATTTGTTTCATTTCATCTACCACTGCATTTCCAAGGTTCTGCTGAAACTCTAAGCAGAGATATTTATATATTATCATCATTAAAAAGCAAAAGGAATAGGCCTTCAAAGGAGAAATACAAGGACTTTTCTTGAGAGGTTCTGTCAGGCTTCAGTAAGCAGATAAAACCATTGTTTTGAACTAGGTTTTCCTATTTGAACCAAAGGTTGAAAACACTCACAATAAAGACCCTTAGAAATTGGTGGTTTATCATCTATAAATGCAGTATTTTCAACTGGAAAGAGTGTGAATAAATGTCTTTAATAAATGGCTGCCTAAATTTAGTTCTCTCTGCATGTGCCGAGTATTTAATTAATTGTTGTATTTTCAAAGTTGCTGAGCAACAATCATATGCTCTTAACTTCTGCATAAACCATTTAGACAAGGAATAAAAATGTAATAACTTAATCTTTTTTGTTTCTCAGAAAGTCTTGGTGGTTTTACATATTTTTCAAGTTTTTATAGAAACATTTAAAAATATTGAAATAAATACTGTTAACTGGTATGACTTGCTGTGTTATCTAAAACTTGCATGTTGTTTTTACACTGTGCAAGAGTGAGAGAAACAGATCAAACAGCAGCAGGAAGCTCAGCTGTATCTTGCTTGAGGCTCTTGCCTAATTTGCACCTGCTCACTGATGGGTTTTTTCAGAGCTTCACCAATTAATGTCCTCCAGATAGCCAAGTTCCAGGGTTTGGATTTTTTTTAAATTTATACAGACCAGAGGAATCCCACCTATTTAGACTTCATTGATTCAGATGAAGATGTCACAGTCACTCAGATGACTTAATGTTTTTGTTGTAAGGAGGTCTATGATTAAAATATTCCCTTAAAAATGTTTCTTTTGTCTTGCTTACATCATGAATACTCAGTAGTGAAGGAAAAATCATATGCCTTACTGGTGACTTTTTTGTCTCAATGGGTATAGAATGCCCACTCGGTAAGTACTTTCACATACAACAGATGTATATCTGTTTAGATAAATTTGTTGGGCTCAGGAGTTGACAATCCCCATTACCAGTTAGCAAGATTTACAAAGCAGAAAATGGAGCAGGACTGCTGTGTAAATTTGCAGCTAAATCTCTGGTGACAAGAACAACCCTGGGAGGAACTATATTGTGATTTAATACAGAGTATCATCATTCCTGGCTGCTTTATTTTCTAATTATTATTCATATATACATTATGTGACATTATTTTAAAAGGATACATCTACGGTCTAATACTCAAGAAATTTACACTTCACTGTGCAGAAGGCAGTATCCTTCATAATGTCTGATTGCTGGCAAATACTGAGGGGAGCACGGCATGGAGCACACACTGTGGAAGGTAAACAGCACCACAGCCTCTGGAGGACTAAGGCTGGTAGCATTAGAAAGGAAAATGCTATCAGTTAATGGTTACTGTGACTTTCTTCATGAATGATTCAACTGCATCTGTCCTTGATAGTATAAATTTTGTTGTGCATTCCCAGAAATCAATGCAAGGTAAGTGCAAGTTATGTAAGTTATTAAAAAAAAAAAAATCCATTTTGACACAGTTGGGAGTGGAAAGGAAATTCAGCAGAAAAGTTTCAAAAATTAATTTCAGATTAACACACCTGATTTTCTTGCTTCTCCTTGTTTTTCCCATATCCCTTTCCCTTCTCGTCAGCCTCTCCCTTTTTTCCTTTTTCTTGCCCTTCTCCTTCACTTCTACCTTTTACTTCCCCCTTCCACTTTTTCCTTTTCCTTTTCTTGGAAGCACTTTCTACAGAATAAGTAAAATGTCAGTGAGTTCTCAGGAAAGTGCATTTCCAAAATGACTGTAGACACAAATAAGAAAAAAGGAAGGAAAAGGAAATGGAAAGGAGAGACCAGCAGCAAATGAGTGACATTAGGCATTAGAAACTTTGACATTTTCTTACTTTATCATAAGAAGAATTTGAGCACTTAAATTCACTTTTGGCATGCCTGCAGGTTCATGAATTTCTAAGCAGGTACTCTTTTCCCGGCTTTTCCTTTCTTCTCAGCATTTTTTACTCACAAGTGTTTAAACCAAGGGAGAAAAGAAACGCTGGTACATATTTAATGTCAACAAACTTACAGAAAAGCTTAATGTAATATTGAAAATATATTAGCATCCATGGTCACTAATAATCCACAGAGAACAACAGGATAACTACAGGATAAGCATCATCTTTTCAAGGTTTCAATCCATATAATGATTCTTAGCACAAAAAAATTGTCCTTGTAGGTCAGCCTCCCCTATCTTTTTCACCTCCTTCTATCTAGATTTGTCATTTAAGTTTAAAGATGATATTTAGGAATAGTCAGTCATTTGGAGTAGCACATCTGCCATATGCATACTCACAGGATGCCTGAACTTTTGCAGAAGAGAAAATTTCAATTAGGTGGATTTGGAATTGCAGGAAGAGCTGTGGCTTACAGACATATTTTATGACATGTTTGGGGTCCTTGTCCCCATATGCACCAGCAATTGAAAAAGCTGTGTAAATAGCAGTTAACTAGCAATTAAAAATTACAGAAGTTCAGTGTATTTTTCAATTATTTGATGAGTTCCCAAATCTCATGTATGGTAAAACAAGCAGTCATTCAGCACAGCTGTGCAAGCTGAAGCTGGTTATTAGCATCCAAATGGCTATGATGGATTCATTCTACTTCTGAAATTCTTTTATTCAGCACTGCTCCAATGAGTATTTTATTGATTTATTTATTTATAACCACATAAATAATTTAATTAATAATTGTAAGTCTCCATTTTCCCTTCTAAACCTCAAGTACAATAAGTTCCATGGCTAATCTTAGATAATTCTTCTGTCCTAGAGAATATAATTACTATTCCTAGCATTGTTCCTATTATTTAATCAGTTTCTAAACATTTTCAGAAAAGAGGGGAGTGAATGAAAATTCAAATTAATAAAATGCCATAAATCACAGCAAAATTATATTGATATAGAGGGAAAAGTATTTGTACAACCCTGGCTAAAATTGGTTTCTTACTGCTTGTTTAGAAATAGGGTAAGGATTACATGTCAGGCAAACTAAGGACATTTAACTTTCATTACTTTCTTTTCTGTATGTTTTGAATCAGGCTATAAAGAGATATTACAAAACGGAACTGAAATGTAACATGCCGTTCTAAATGTCTCTAGATGCTAGGCAAACCATTTTCAAGATTACTGTGCTTAAAACAAGCTTTTGTGAGTAACCATCACAAAACATTTTCACTTACCATCACAAAACTCTTCATTTCAAATCCTGTTTCAGATGATTAGAGCTCTGCAATAAAACATTAACTTTACTTCAAGAATCCTCCCAGCATTGTCTTTCCCTAGAAAAAAAAATCCTGTAACCTACATGTATGCTTTAAGTCTGACTCTAGTTTTCTAGTCCTCTGGAGGAGGACAACAGTAAATGAAGTAAATGGCAAGTACACTCATGTCATTACTATTAGTGTAAAAATGGGGCCACTCATTACAATGTCGAGCAAAGAGATAGTGAAATGTGAAATTCAGCTCTCAATCTGCCCCACCAGTTTACACAATCCAAGCAGGCAAGACCACCACAAGACCAGGCAGCCTGGCTCCCTCAGGGCACGTTCCTGCAACCGTGGTGCCAGAGCTGGAGAGAGCAAGGGAGCGGGTGCAGCTCTCAGTGCCCCCCACCAGCCTCACACCCTGCATCAATCATTTTGTTCAAGAAGAAGCAAGTGTCTTTCCATCACCCCTTGCAGAGGCCAGCTCCAAAAAATTCAGGCCACATGTGCTGCTTGAAGAGAAACATGTACCCTGATGATTGCTGGTTGTGAAGGGAGGTTTCCAAAAAAAAAAAAAAAAAAAAAAAAAACGTAATTATCAGGGAAGTGGACAATGAGTGACCTGAAATGTGAGTTGGATCAGATGCGAGAGTGGAAATTCTGTACTTGCCCCGTCCCACACAGAACAAGAGCATAGAGCATAGGAGTTCTCATTATGACAGTCTGTGGAAAAAAATCACTCATCTAATGGAAAGCCCTGAATCCATATGGCAAAGGTACGATTTCAAACAAGATTGTTAAAACTTATTCATTCTATGCAGTTTTGTGTCCAGTGTGTGGACAAAGAGAAATTTTAAATCACTTCTGGCACTGCAATGGCAGACCCCTCAAGCTTCTTGAGATGAGTAAATCTTGTGGTAACACCCAGTATGTTATCTAAAGGCATAACATGCAGCTAACAGTGGCTAGGAATCACTAACTAAAGAATGTAAAAAACTGTTAATTTGTGTTTTATACCCAAAGGTAGAGTTTTAGAGCCAAAGGCAGAGAGAAAGTACACTTTTCTTTCATTGAAGAAAAAAAATTATCACAAAATTTAACTCATAACAAAATATGTGGTTTTATCAACTACAGTTAAACTATCTTCCCAATCTGGTTATCTCTCAAAAGCAAAATACCGTGAAAACCATGATCAGCTAAAACAAATTAAAAATTTTTTAAAAAATTCTTAATTGAGAACAAGGACAAGTAGCAACACAAAATTTACAGTAAACAGACATCACAGGGATTTTTCCTTTTAGCAGAGGATCAGGTCCAAGATACCATCATAGCAGAGAATTGTAAACATTTGTGAAACTAAAGAAAGACAAAGAATGTTTAGAACCAGTATGACTCAAACCTCTGCAGGCACAGCTGGACACCAACAGACTCAGAACAAGAATCAGATAAGCCCGGAGACCTTGGGAAGCAAAAGCTGTGACAGGACAAATCCCCAGACTGAGGCCAGGCAGGTAGTATCAGACAAAACAGAAGACACATATGAGAAAGCACTGAATTCAAGGAGTGACTGGAAGATGAGATAAATGGATCTACATTGGAAACAGAAATTGAAGCAAGCACTGCAGTGATAAGAAAGTACTGCATTTGGAAGAAGTGAAACTCTGTGTGGAAATTTCAAAGGAAGAAATGGACCAGTCAAAAGCAGTGAGGGAAAAACTTTACAAATGTGTGTAACCGAAAAGCTGCAAACCTCACCCTGTCAATAAAGCAGATAAGGCACAGCATTCTTGAGAAGCTTTCAACAAACACCACTCAGCATCAGACTCTGAGAAAGTAAGGAACAGACTGTAGTTAAATTAATGATAACATGTATCCAGGAAAAAATCAGAAGCACAGACTGCAAATGAACTGCTGAAAACAGAAAAGCAATAGACAGAAATGCACAAACAGCAGACATAGCAAAAAGCATTTTCTGTACCTCACTCATGCTGAAAAAGCTGTTCAGAGATGGGAAAAGAAATCCCTCCAAATGGTACCAGCTTTGAATCATTATCAGAATATTCCAACAAGAACTTTGCAATTACTGCAGCAACTGCAAATGTGGCTCCATCTTATAAAGTATTTTTTAAGGCAAAACTGCAAGGAAAAGCCGAAAAGGTAGATGCAAAGCTGAGAGAGGATACAGAGATCACAGGTAGGCCAGTTATTCACCCCAAGGGTACAGCAGAACTGTGGAACACGGTTGTCCCTTCACATCCTCAAGGATAATGACCTCAAAACAACATTTTACAACCTTCCCCTAATCTCTTTTTGTAATGTCAAATACCACAAAACCAGAAAATTCCTGAAGTTAAGCAATTTCATTATCATATGAATCAAATACATTTAATAAGCACAAGAAATAGAAAACAATTGTGGGAAATTTTAAATTTTAAATTTGTACAACATAACAAAGGCATGTGAGGAGAATCATCTCTCTTTCACCCAACTTAAATGCCTTTACTTCCATCCGAGACGGTGAACATGTAATATCAACTTTTTGCAAAAACTTTTCTTAGGCAGCTTAGAAGTAGTGACAGGGAGGGTCTAATGAGACCCTGCTCCCAAGTTTCCTAAGTGATTTTGATAGTGTAGTTTGCATCCAGTTTGTCATGACAGATATTCTCAGCCTGCCAGCTGAGATGGGTTTTTTTAGTGTGTAGTTACCTGCTTTATCGCCAAAGGTAAAGAAAAATAAATCGCATAAAATAGGAAAAGGTTGGCCATTGTATGTGTCAAACTTCATGGCAAACTCTGACTGTTCAGCTGTTAACTGACTTTGATTCTTACAATATCAATCAGAGGCTGCTAGTATTAGGGTAGACTTTAAAGATGAGTACAGATCACACACTGAGACAACCACTGCGTGTACAATTTCACTATATCCAGATACATCTCATAGTGCACTTCTGCATTTTTGTAAAATAGAGAAAGAGACAAATGAATGGTGAATTATTTAGCTGAAATCTACTGATGACATTTGATGACCAGTGAAAATTTCCCTCTGGTCTCCACACACAATATATTACCCTTTAATCATATGCATTATCAAGGGGAAGAGGAAAATAAAAATTAATGTAAACTAACCTGATCCCATCTTTTCAGGAACATAGGTACCTGTTTTGAGTTTGCCAAACTAATACTGTAGAAATATTTTCCCTGCCTTTTCTAAGTATAATAACCACACATATAATTTCTCTCTGGAACTCTCATCTATACATTATAAGACAGTCACAATGAGTACTGCAGTGCCTTGGAACAGGAAAAAAGTCAGTGAATCCAGCAAAGAAGCACTCATATGGCCAAGCTGTAAGTCAGGAAATGAAACAAAGAAATATAAAATCACTGGTCCTCAGGCAGCTGAAGAAGTAACAACACACAAAGGATCCACATCCAGCTCCTTTAAGCATAAGACTATCGGTCTTGCTTCTAACTCCCCCAGGCTTCTCCTTTCTTTCAAGCAGCTGACAGAAAACTGCTGGTCCTTGTTAGGTGATTTGCTTCTCTCCTCAAGTCTGACATCTGCATAGAAAACTTAAATAAGGACAACTCAGCTCAAAGAGTCCACATAAATGGCCAGCAGCTGCCAGAAGTTCCCAGCAAGTACCAAGGAGGGACAGATTTGTAGCAATGCAGGACAATGACGAGTCTCTATATTGTGTTAGGAGTTTCCTAATCAGATGTCACCTGCCCCAAAGTGCGATGTCCTGAAATACCACTGCATTTTATGTAGCTGCATTTTTCCTTCCTGCTAGCATATCTGGGAGCATCTTTGCCCAGTATTCAAAAATACTATAACACTTTGAGAGGCTATATATAAGAACATTTGTAATAAACATTATACTTAGTACACATTAATAAAGGTGTAGCCAATATCTAGGTGGATTAAAGATCAGGATAACTTTCCCCTCACTCCATATTTACTTGGTGCAGTAGGTATTCTGGTTAAATTATCCTTTCTGGATTTTGAGTCTGACAAGAATGTGAGCTTTTGCTTATGTGTGTGCATGAATTATGATTATAATAAGTGTTTCCTTTCCTCACAAAATTGGAAAGGTGAACTAATATTCATTAGAAGGTAATAGGAACAAATAGCACAAAATATTTTGGAATGCTGGTTTAATACATAGCTGCATATATGCTGGAAGTTTTTTCCCTGAGTGGTCCTTTGTTATAAAATTCCAAATTCTTTGAAATAGGAAAGTATAGTTCTACAAAAGCAGTAATATTCACTTTGCCTATTGCAAGACCATGATTTGTGTGTGCCATCCCGTCCGCATGGAGCCTGTTGAAAGAAATACAACACAGCAGACCTTGATGAAGTCCTAAAGAAAGGACTTTATCAAAGTAAAATGAGCAAATGTACCATAGTTTCTGGCTACATTTTTGTTATTATTACATTGTGATTAATAACCCATCTTTTTGAAGACAATGAATTTTCCTAAGACTTTCTATGTTATATAAATTAAGGTTCATCAGAGAACCCCTAGGTAATGGAAAGATGAAAAAAAGGGCAACATAGATTTATTTTATAGTAGTGGACATACACACACACACACACACACACACACATACACACACACACCAGTTTCATGACCCATTTTTATTTTCCTGAACACTTGATAAGAATCATAATACAAAGAAAGTAAAAATGATAGCAGCCCAAGGCTTTTGAGTAAAAAAATCACACACCTATATTTTACAAAACAGGTGCTATTTATAGTCTTTTTTCCTTTATTATTTTATGAGATGCTGATGCTTGGGTTAAAATTTTTGCTGCAGAGCTGAAACAGGCACAAAGAGAACTTTGATTAGGCATAGCCATCAGTGTGGTTTTGGTGCATTATCAAGGAGAAGCAAGCTATGAATGCCATCTGCTGGAGAAGGCCTTGCCAGGCCAAGCATCAATGATGCCTCACAATAGCTTTGGGCTGGATAACAAATATCTGAGACTGCATATCACAGCAATTTTTCCCATCAGCTCTGTCAGCAGAAGCAAGAGTCAATGATTATTTTGTGGGAAGTGGTCCATTGTATCAACCAATTCTTTTTCAGCACTTTTCTTCAAATTCAGTATTATGCAATGAAATTTCAACATCTCTGCTTTTGTGCAATGGGAGTGGACTGGGTAAGAAAGAAGGGAAAAGAAAATGCAACAAAATGTATTCTTTTGATTGTGGTTGGGATATGAAGATATGAGCAACACCTCTGTTCAATTCTGTTGACATAGGTGTGTCATCGCAGTGAGGTGAGAACCCTGAGGAGAACAAGCCTCTGCAGTAACTGTATTAGAGCTGCTCCAGGATGCAGTGAGTTCAGTACTCCATGAAAGCCACTTTAGGACTTGCTGCTTTCTTTAGGAGTTGAATAAAGGGCACCGTGCTGAAAATTTCCAGGAGTTATGAACTAGTTTTATCTAGTCAGCCAGAGTTCTTTCAAATCAGTAGTGAAATCAGGTTTTTGCAGAGAAAAATAAATTCAAATATGTCATAGGATAGGACAAACAGCCCTGTAGGATACTGACTACAGTGAGAAAGTCTGTATTATGTAGGTTGCTCAACTGATTTTAGCTATCTAGTTATTACTTTAAAACAAATCCTCCTCTACTGTCCGGTTTATCTCGGCTGTTTGAGGGGCCTGGAAGGCCCGGGGTGGCCTTGGGGCAGCCCGCGTATCGAAAGACGAGAAGAGGCTTCAGTTCTTCTTTCTGGTTTTTATGTTTATTAATTGTTTATCTAAAAGATGTTCTTTCAGCCTAACAAAGATCTGCTCAGCAGTCAGCCATGGGCACACTGTGCCGTCCCACGGACCGCCACGTATCTTTATACCCCTTGCTACGTATACAATATTTATCATTTTTCCCCAATACCATCTATTGTTATAACTCGGTGTACTCTTAGTAATAACCAATCCAAAGGTGCCACCGTGGCCAAAGAAGATGGAGGAGAGGAGGAAGAAGAAGGAGGGCAGGACACACCCCAATTCCTCCATCTTACTCCTCTAAACCCCCCTGTACATAAATCCTAAACCCTGTTTCTCACCCTCTAATTAGCTAATCTTTCCACCCTTCACCCCGGTGAGGCCCTCTTATCTTCATAAAGGTGTCGTCTCCCGTGTAGGGTCAAAGTCCTGCCACCAGACACTTCTGGCAACATTCCAGGACTCCCGGGACCCCCAAGGGTGGTCTCGGGGGCCCTGCATCCCGGGACTCAAATCCTGAGATCCCACACTCTACCAATCATTCTCTCATTGAAATCAGCATGAATTTTGTGGAGCTGACGGTAAGTCCTATAGCATTGTTTGACTAGCCTAAAAGGTATTTTAGTATTCTTACTGGATAAATGACTTTATTAATTTTATCTTGTTTAAGACACTCTGCTGTCTCAAAGAATGAGGACAAAGGACTCAGCAGCCAGTGCTCCATGGGTCATCACCGTTAATGTAGGAATTGAGGTCCCTGCTTACCTTTACTGCCTTGGTGCTAGAACAGTAGATTTGGACATGGTTCCATTCTCTAGCAGTAATTCATTCAATGAGAGGAAAGAGACAAAATCCAGGCACTTTGCTGAATTAAGAAAGATTCAGGCTGACATCTCATCTCTGAACTTGACAGACCTGGGCCTTATGCTTCTGACATTTACTACCCAGAGCAGCTCCCTCTTGCTTTTCTGCATTTCATATCTCCCCATCCAATTACCTGGGGCTCCCCCCACCCTAAATCCAACTTGGATCATACAAGTCTTTCTAACCACGTAACATGATTCAGCAAAAAGACACTGAAGCATT